CATTGTGACCTATAACCTGTACAACTTGATTGTGGGAAGGGAAAAAAAAAGTTGTACTGGGAAGTTATATTTAGCAACTGAAATAAACGAATAGTCGCACACCTTCTGATCCCGTCGCTGGGTTGTGGTTGTGTTCAGAATTCAAACACTCCCTATTTAAACTCATGTGGAAGTACCTGTGATGAACCACCAAGTAAATGTCACACGTTTCTCAATCTCCAAGCACGCGGGAAAATGTGTGATGGTCTGACGAGACCAAAGTTAAACTTTTTGCCCCATAATTCCAAAGAGTATGTTTCCTGCAAATGCGGCCCCGCTTCTCACCAAAAGACGACGTTACCTGCAGTGAAAGCTTTGCTGTTGGCAGCATCGTGCTTTGGGAGTGTTTTTCTTCAGCTGGAACCGGGGCCTTAGTCAAGACTGAGGATTAAGAACAGTTCCAAATAGCAGCTGGTGTTAAAAGAAGACTTTGAGGCTTCTGCTGGAAAGCAAAAAAAAAAAAAAATCTACGAGAACATCTGAAATTGATGGCGGGTTATTCGGAGGCACTTTAAATGGTGGCAGGTGTGTGCTGACTCCTATTTAACATTTGTTTGAATGTGAATGGTAAATTCGGAACCAAGGCACAGAGGGCCAGTTGTGTACGTTTACTCCCCCTTTCAAAGATTAAAAAAAAAAATAACACATTTACATTTTATAGGTTGTAGGCCACATTAGTGGTGGAAAAAGTTTTCAAATTTGTCTTGGTTTCATTTTTTTTATTTTATTTTTTTAAACACACACACAAACTGGCATATAAACAGTTCGGTGTACAAAATAGACCTGCGTATCCACTTTTTGTGACATTTTTGTTTGGTGGTTTTTCTAATGTCATGAGCCTTGGCTCAAGAAACGTTGGGAAACACTTAGTGATGTATTAAAAAAAAATCTAAATTCGTATGAAGAGTATTTGGGCAAAGAAAACAAATTACTAACCCGTATTACCAAGTTCAAACCTATTGAGTGATGCTAATTATAAAAGTAAAATGTGTTTTTTTTGTGGGACGCACAGCAGCATGTGAAAGCTTTTCTCTCAGCTGCCAGACAGTAACCGACTCCATGTTGCTGTCGTCACTTTTTTTTATGGGACATGTGCAACAATGACAAACGGACACAACCAAGAAATGATTGCAATCAAGTGTTTGATATTCCAACAACTATGGCAAGTATCAATATTTCCCTTTTACTCCAACACAAATATCAGTGACGGCTTTCGTCGGCCATGATCATGGAAGAAAGCTCAACAATTCCACTTCCTGGCATTCCCGCCGGCTTCTCTCCGGCACCGATTCAAGGACAACAGATGGGAATCTTTAAGCTGCCACACATCCGCGCCTGAGCTGTGAAGTATACTTGGGGGGGGTGAACAGGACAGACTGAACTCCAGGAAGGAATAAAAGAATTGTTGGGTGCTGGGGACCGGGTGGTGGCGGCG